TATAATTTCACGTCGTATTATAATTATGTTTAAATATTTTCTCTCTCCCACGTTTCTCTCTCATCTTTTTTTCTCTTTCTTTCCGAAATTTCATATCTTCAACTTTTCCTTGCAGTATCGAAATTGAAAATGTGTACTTGCGGAAGCATTTCATGCGGTTTGCCTTAAATTTCCAAGCCACAAAAGCCTAGTGGGTGTTTAACTAGGCTCTCACCTTTGTTGTAGCATTTTAAGGAGAGATAATTTTTGCTTTTAAAATAAACAATGCAGGGGTGAATTACTCCGATGTTCAAGAAAAAAAAGGCGAATTTTACTTCTCCCATTTGTCTACTATGATGGGACTTTAGGCATAAACTTAGGAACAACGTGGCTTGGAGCTTTGTTTTGAACTATTATTTAGGTAAATTTAAGCATTGAGTTGCTTTTATCTCCAAAATCCCATCACTAGAAAATTCTAATGTTCTTTTTCAACCCAAAAAGCTTTAATCTTATTCTTTTTCGCCAAGTTTTGCAATTTTAACTTTTTTTTTTTTCATTTAAGTACCACTAAGTTTTTTTGTTAGCCACATAATCTCCTTGCACCCACTATTCACAAATATAAAGAGCCCATATTTTTAGGTTTAAAGAGAAGAAGGATGGAGTCTGGTGGGAGCAAGGCATCTTGCGGAGTTAGGTTGCCGTTTTTGCTTTCATTAGCGATGAGCAATCAATGGAAGGGGATAGGGAAAAGACCGGAGGGAAGAAAGCAAAAAGATTTGGGGGAAGAAATTATTCAACACAGGAATAAATTTTTCCATTACTCTATGTAGGTATTGAGGGGAATAGAGGGAAAGAGAAAGGAGGAAGGGAGGGATTTTTTTCCATTTTCCTTTCTTCTCTTTATATGAATAAATAATTAAGTAAATAAAAAAGTAAATACAAATTTTTTCGTATACTTCTTTTTAATTTTTTTATAATCAAATAAAAATCTTATCCGCTCTCATCTCTTTCATTCCCCTTAATTTAAACATATTATTAAGATAAATTGTAATAACTGGTAAGCTATCTTTGGTTAGATGATGAATTGGATGATAAGGTGTTCAAATTTAAAGAGTTGTGATTCTCTTATTCTGTCATTGGATACCGTCGTGTGTGTAGACTTTATTGATATGAATATGATTAATTAGGGGTGGAGGAGGTTATTGTCACTAGATTTTGTCAAAATAATTAATTTTAATTATATTTTTTTAATTTATACTTTTCTTTTATATAGTCAATTATGTTATTTAAAAATATTTATTTATAAATTAATTTTATTTTAATTTGAGAGTACTGGTTTAACTGTAATTGTTAGTTTGGTGGTCTTTTAATATCTAAAAATATATGAAATATATTTAATACATTTAATATTTA